ACTACCTGACATTAGTAAGCCTTTTGTTTGTATGCACATTTAAAGGGATTTTTGACCACTCTTGTTTGGGCAAACTTGGAATGATGGGGTCTCACTCGCTTCTGTGCCATGGCAGGGCCATAGAGCTAACCAGATAGTCGCAGGGAGGGCCTGTCTTGGGCGTGGGTTTCATTTGCTATCTTGACTCTTCCCACAGTCTCAATACTATGCCCAGGGATGCCAGAAACTTGTGAAACCACAGTTTACCTCCATCATCTAACAAGCCCCACTGACAGTTTACATCCCTCATCTAACAAGCCCCACCGGCAGTTTACCTCCATCATCTAACCCACGAGCCCCACCGACAGTTTACCTTCATCATCTAAGTAACAAGCCCCACCGGCAGTTTACCTCCATCATCTAACCCATGAGCCCCACTGACAGTTTACCTTCATCATCTAACTAACAAGCCCCACCGGCAGTTTACCTCCATCATCTAACCCACGAGCCCCGCCGACGGTTTACCTCCATCATCTAACCCACGAGCCCCGCCGACGGTTTACCTCCATCATCTAACCCATGAGCCCCACTGACGGTTTACCTCCATCATCTAACCAATAAGCCCCACCCATAGTTTACCTCTATCATCTAACCAATAAGCCCCTCCCACAGTTTACCTCTATCATCTAACCAACAAGCCCCACCGACAGTTTACTTCCATCATCTAACCAACAAGCCCCACTGACAGTTTACCTCCATCATCTAACCCACGAGCCCCACTGACGGTTTACCTCCATCATCTAACCAATAAGCCCCACCCATAGTTTACCTCCATCATCTAACCAATAAGCCCTACCCACAGTTTACCTCCATCATCTAATCAATAAGCCCCACTGACAGTTTACCTCTATCATCTAACCCACGAGCCCCACTGTGCACATGCTCCATGTCTCTCCTGAGGAGCAAATATGTGGGTTTCGTGGTTGCTCTCTCTTCAGAATCAGAAGAGTCTTTGATTGGCCACTGGGGGTTGAAGTGACATCCTGGATGACTAAAACTTTCTATTTACCTGGTGCCTAAGAACAGCATGCTGAATTTAGCTCTTTAGAGGGGAGTGAAACAAGTATCAAAGGGGTCACAAAGGCAACATGCCTTAATGTTAGTGGATTATGTGTGGCCACCAACTCATGGAATCACAGAGTTTATTTTCAAATCTATTTTATAAGGTACCCAGTCTAAGATTAAATCAATTGCTTGCAAAGTTTTGTCAATCCTGATGTTCTTCAATTCTGCTTCAAGATCAGGAAGACCTTCCTGCCATGCAGGAAACACTATTTATTACTGCAGGTAAGTTCTCTTTAAGAACAACCCAGAGCTCCTGCACACAAGCAGTATTGCCCATGTCCATTGAATGGCTTGAATAGCCAAGCATATTAAAATATGAATCATCACAAACAGACACAAGCTTTTAACAACTTTAATTGATATAATTATAATTGGTATGTGATATGTCTTACAACAAATGTGGATACAATGACATCAAATATCAAAGAAATTTCACACCTTTCCATCTTTAAATGACATTGGCTAACTCACCTCAAGAGAGAAGCCTGGCACTTCCCTCTTGGTTAGCACTTTTACCAGTATCAACCAGTACTTTGAAAATGAAAGTTGAAATGGTACATTCGTTTTCCCGGGGGAAAAAAAAAAAGAAAAATTTAAAGGCAAAGAAGGTGAATCAACGTGCAAATTAGCATCTGGCCCAGTTGCAAAATCCATGTCCCAGATGCGAGGGATTCAACCATGCACACTTGCAAGCAAGATAAAGAGCAGATAGCTGGCATCACAGAATCCAGAAGACCTCAGGATGGTCCAGGCCTGAGGTCCACCGCTGTTAGCACTCAAGTATACACTCTGTGCTACCCTCACTGCCTGGACCCTCACTCAGGAGCCTGGGAGACCTGTGTTCTGGGCCAGACTTTCCTTTGGAAACAAAAACTGTCATTCGTGATCCCAGGCATGGTTAGCCCTGTAATTAATCAGCTGTGCTGGGACATGGGGTGCAGTCTGGACCCCATGGGCTGTAGCCATCTAATGTGGCTGGGATACAACTGTCACCGTACAGGATATGTAAGAACAACACACTAGTATAACAGCAAACAAGAAACTGAGCTCACTTACATAGCCATATAATACTTAAAATGCCTATGAATATTTTTTCTCTAGGAACTGAAACCACTGTAGATGTGATTTCATTAATCCTCACCACACATCTGTGAGGTAGGGTAGGGTGAGGGCAGTCTGAAAGCGTCACCCCAGTTTAGAAATGAAACCACCCCAGATGTGCAAAGAGGGCTGGAGATTTCATCGGGGTCATGGGAAAAGAAAGTGGTGCACCCCACTCTCTCATCATGTGGCATCTGTGGTTAAGGACTGGCTGGTGGCTGCCTCCTGCTCTGATGTTCGCTCCAAAGCTTTATGACTGGCCCTGTCCACAGACAGGATATATGTACACCTGCTGGAGCTGTTTTCCTTGGGAACAACCGAACTGACTCCTCCTGAGTTGAGTCAACCCTGGCATACGTTTCAGGGCCACGTGTGCGTGTGCGTGTGTGTGTGTAAGTAACATTTGTAGAATACAGTTGCTAAAATCCTTTGGCCAACTCAAAATCAGACACTATACATTTGGCAAAATAAGGCTCAACCCTTAGGTTTTCATATTGACATAACATCACAAGGAGCAGTAGGGGTTTTGTGGGAAGCTGTTACCTTGCTGAATACACTTGCTTCAGGCCCCTGTCTGTGCCCAGGGCACCTGGAGTCTAGTGAGAGCCACAGGTCCTCACGTGCTCACAAAGCAGCTACCTGCGGTGAGGAGAAACATGGGCAAAGTCCGTGGTTTGACAGGTCAGGGTTCCTGTGAAGAGGCTGGCCCCTCCGACCCAGTATTTATGACAGAGTATGCCTCCCCAAATTTATGGACATTTTGTCAAAATGTTTTTGGCCATGGGAGGAAAAATATGTATGGAATGTCTGTTTTTATTGGCCTATCCTTTGCCAAACTGCGAGCCCTATGGAGTGTGTGAGGAAGGACAAGGACCCAAGCCACACGTGGCTAGACGGGCCACCCTTGGTCGCTCCTGCCCGTGTGTCTGAGAAGTGTGTCCACTTTTGTTAACTTTTGCTGTCAATACTCAGAGATACCATAATCCCCCATGCTACTCCTCACCGCCGCTCAGGCTGTAATATACCTCTGGGAGCCCCTCATTCTCCTTTGGTAACTAAGGAGCTCAGAAATACATTTTTTTCGGAGTGTGGGAGGGCAGACTGCAGAAAGTGGCGTTGCTTCCAGTGTCTCTGCCTCCAGGCAGCTTAGAAAAGAAGGGTGGTTTTCACGTCAGGCTTTGTCTGGCCACTGCTAGTGACAGGATGAGCCGAGGGTCAAGTTTCTGTAAACTGAACAATTATGGCAGCGAGGTCTAAGTTTAGAAATAAAAACTGACCCATTTTTCAAGTTCTTTATGGCAATGTAGGATGATGCAACATTTTGAAATGAGTCCCAATGCTTGTTTCGTACTACAGGAAATCAGGATATAAAATGCTGACTGCTCATATCAGATGTTACGGGAGACAGGGTTGCAACCCATGAAATAAAACTCTCTAGAAAACACACAGGAATTAAGAGATGACCATGCATATCACAAAAAGAAAACAGAGCCTATCAGCCAAGAAACAAACACTTTAAGGATAAAAATTTAACACATCATTTCATTAAAAATAAAAAATCACAACTGATCTGTGAGGGTCAGTCATCCCAGTCTTGGCACTGTGGATACTTCAGGCCACACAATTCTTTGTCTCGGTGGGTTGTCCTGTGTTGGGTAGAAGTCTTGGCAGCATTCCTGGCCACTAGCAGCACCCCCACATCATGACAATCGAAATTGTTACCAGACATTTCCAAATGCTGGAGTCAGAGCAAAATTACCTCCCAATTGAGAACAATGCAGTAAAGGGACGACTGCAGGGCTGAGCGGTTCTTTCTCAAAACCCCCTGTGCAGGGTTCTAAGACTAGGGACCTAGGTGTTTGTTTTTTTGAAGGGAAGAATTAGTAAGGTAAGTATAAGGAGAATAAACTGGTTAATCATGTTTTTTGTTTCCTATGGGAATGCCTCACTGAGCCATTGCAGGTAGAATACCAACTCTTTGTTTTTATTTATTTTATTTTTTATTTGCAGTTTTGGCCAGGGCTGGGTTTGAACCTGCCACCCTTGGTATATGGGGCCGGTCCTTGAGCCACAGCCTCTACCCCAATACCAACTGTTTTAAAAACAGTTTATAGCCATTATCTAGTGGACAGTAGGTGGGGGACCAGATGCTTTTTGGCTACAAAGCCAGGGCTGTCTGGGTCCCCTGAGCAGTGGGGGTCACTGAATTGTTATTGGCCACAGATTCCATGTGTGTTAATGAGGTGCCGATGCAAGCCGGCATCCCTCTCCCCCACTATCTCTGCCAGCCCCCTCAACCTGCACACTCCCCCCACCATGCCTCCCCACTTGTCTCCGTGATGCAGCCTTTCTTAGACCCTTGTTCTTGTGGAGTTGCGAGCCTGCAGGCTGGGGTCCCGCTGCACCCCAACAGAGCAGCATCCTTCACAGAGACGAGGGTCTGGAGCAGGAGGATGGGCAGAGGGCACCAGCAGGTGTCAGCGGCCCCCCCTGCCTCTCGGCCTGCTCTGGTACTTCCTGTCTCATCTTTCATTAATTAGGCAGCTAAGAAGCTGTGATTAGCTTGTAAAGCCAAGCGGTGTCTTGTCAGGTACAGCCGGGTAAACAGAGATGAAAAAGGAATTGAAACCCCCTGCCCCTCCCACGTGGGGGAAAGCCTGGGGACTCATTTCCTTTCTCCTCATTGATATTTAATGTAATTTCCTGAATAGAAGTTTAAGAAATATCAAAACCAGAAAGTTTTCCTAAAAGTAAATTTAAAACAACAATAACAACAACAACAAAAAAACCCCAACCCAATTGTTCTTCTTGGTGGCCTTCTCCATCTGGGTCCTGCAGCAGGGGGTGGAGGGGGCAGCAGTCTCCACCACAGTGGTCAGCCATGGCCAGAGTGAGGTTGGCCCATTTCAGCCAAAAATCAGCCTCCACTCACCTTTAAAGAACGGTTCTTTTCTTTTTGTGCCAAAAGGGAAGGTTGTAGCAGCTGGAGGAAAGAGAGGAAACAGAACAACCACACCAACAAAACAGGGCTTAAGATTGTCTGCAGTGTCCATCGGGGACTCGCCAGAAACTCTACCGTAAGTGCGTATAAATAAAGAGCAGTTATTCCTCCCCCCTGGCCACGCTCCTTCGTTAGGAGTCATCATACAGAGGGTTGTTGTAGTTTCCCCAGGACCCGTAGTCGTGGTCATCCAGGAGTCTTCCATAGGAGGAATGCCTGGGGTGGGGAGAGAAGAGGGCTGTGGTTACTTGGAGACCTCGCCCCTTGGAGCACAGAGAGATGGAAAGATGTGGTGTCCTATGGGGACAACAGACCCACCAGCACAGACCTCCCTTGCAGGGAGGCCCAGTCCACTAACCACCCTGCAAGTGGTGACGGTCCAGCTGGGAGCCCGGCTGGCACCTCTGTTGAGGGCAGCTGGGTCCTTGCCTCTCTCCTGGAAGACAGAGGAGGCCCTATTTCCATGGTGATTTCATAAGAGGGTGGGGGAAAGGGGAGCTTGAATTCCTAGCATTGTGACTTAGGTCCTGGGTTTATTTTTTCCTAAAATAGTAATGACACAACCACAACCACTATGGTTCTCCTGCCTCTCCTGACATTTACATTGCCTTTCATATTTGCATGGTGCTTCTATATTCAGTTTTTACTTGGTCCTCAAAGTAAAGCCACAGACAAGTGTGGTTTGTTATTATTTCTCTGATGAGGGAAATGGGGTTCAGAGATGTTAACTGAAGTGCTCCAAGTCGTCCAACTGAGCTGTGAGTCAAATCCCTGCCTCTTGGATCTAAATTCAGCGCTCAAGCCCAGGTTCCGAGTCTCATTGACACTGAGTTCAGTGGCAATATGGCTAAGTGGAATTTGCTGGGTCATTCTGGGAATCTCTTTCACAATATTACTTCTATAAGAAACCACGACTGCCATCACTGTTCTGTTAAGACCAAGTCATTACAGTGGTCTGCAAAGCCCTGTGGGATCCGGTCCCTGCTGCGTTTTGAGCATATCAGCTACTGTGAGAGACCCCTCTTCTTCTGCTCCAGCCACGTTGACCTCCTTCCCTTCACTCTCTGGCACACCCTGCCTTAGTGCTTTCGCAGCTTTCGCACTGTTTCCCCAGCTTGGAACAAGCACTGTCCAGAAGTCCACAAAGCTTATGCCTTTGTCCCCTTCAAGCCTTTGCTCAGATGTGCCCTTCTCAGCGAGGTGCAGCCTCCATCCCTGCCTAAGTTTTCTCCCAGGGCGCTTCACCCTCTCACAGACCCTGTGGCCATCTCTTCTGGTATTGCCTCTATTCCCTAACTGGACCACGAGCTCCACATTTGAAATATGTGCTTGTTCTGTTTCTTCTTGGCTCTGACTCCAGCAGCTAGAAGAATATTAGGCACATAGTAAGTCCTCAACAAATGTTTGTGGAAGAAGCAGTGTTAGGAAAAAAATACATCCCAAGTTCCCCTCAAAACCAAGTCAGATGGGAGCTTCCTGAAGGAAGGATATGGTCCTTTTAAGACTAAAACTAACGATCAGATTAGAAGAGCACCACGGAATGAGCACTTGCGGCCTCTGAGTCTTGTGCTAGCCTGTGGATTATCACGCCTTGCCACTGGAAATCCTTTGTGCTGGGGATAGTACCAAAAAGCATGCCCGTTCCCCCCACCTTTTTCTTAGCTAGACAGGAAAATTAAACAAAACAAAATGGAATCTGAGAGGCACACAAAAGCATTTGCTATGCTTATATCTGTTGCTAAAGAATTGCTACTGCTTTTTTGAGACTTATTTACATCTGCCAGACATTTGCAAAGAGATGATATTTTGTAAAAAAAAAAACAACAAAAAACAAGGCCCTCACTGTGCCTGCGTCAGACTCAGCCTTCCGAATTCAGATTTATGTCCTGAAGGCTGATTCAGCTCACCTATTCTGTATACCTGGACACTTGGAGATGTTCTACTTACTTGCTTTGCTTTCCCTAAAGGCCCATGTTTCTTTCTTTCCTTTCTCTCTTTCTTTTTCTCAGTCTCAGGCTGTTGCCCTGGGTAGAGTGCCATGGCGTCATAGCTTACAGCAACCTCCAACTCAGGCTCAGTCAATGCTCTTGCCTCATTTTTTTCCCTATTTTTAGTAAAGATGGGGTCTCACTCTTGCTCAGGCTGGTCTTGAACTCTTGAGCTCAAGCACCTGCCTCGGCCTCCCAGAGTGCTAGGAGTGCTAGGATTACAGGGGTGAGCCACTGTCCCTGGTTGGTCATTTCTCTTGGTACAAGAGAGGGATGACAGATAGCAGTCCAGAAGCACCAGTGCTTTGGAATAGGAATTCTGATAGGAATAGAAGAGGTAGTTTTGGTAAATGAAGGCCATGGGCTATCTATGGCTAATACTTCTCCAAATTTAAAACTTACAATTCCAATCAAATTCCTTAACAAGATGGTTAAGAAATGGAAGCTGTAGAATTAACAAGCAAAACCCTGAGGACTGCAGCACGGGAGTGGCCCAAATTGCAGCGAGACTTACTGCGGCCAGCCTGGCGGCCTCTGCCTACTAACCACAGCCTTGACTAAGGGGCACCACGGCCTTGCTTTGTAAGGGGCTCCAGCTTCTTACAGCATTTTAATCACTATCATATAATTTTATTCCCATAAAATGTCAGTTTGGTCAATAGATACATGTTCTTGAATGAGGTTTTTAACCCTCTGCTTCTTCATCTATAAAATGAAGTAATTTTTTAAAAAATCAAGTTAAAGTTGTGAGAAGGATTAAATGAGGTAATGCACATAGAAGGTGGGCAGGGGATGTGTGCAAATAGCAGAACTTGGCGCGGAGTGAAAAGGGAGTCTTCCTCCCACCAACAAGTCCTGAGACTTTGCCCCAGGCTTAGTTAGACACTCAGTTTCTTGTATTATTGTTTCTGTATTTGGATTTTTAAAAATTCTTATTCTCCTGGAGTGGGGTCAGAGGGTTAAGCATCCCCTGTCAGGTTGCACTGCCGCTGGTTATCCTAGGCAGGACCGTTTGGTCAGTGCGGTACCTGAATCTGCTGGAAGAGGCGCCTTCTGCAAAAACACAAATAAAATAAAGGATAAAGAGGGTTTTATCCTTTTTGTTTTCCTTTGTTTTGTGGGATGAATAGTGAGTGAACAAACTGCTGTCAAGCCAGGAAGGAGACAGGAGAGATGAGGATGAACAGGGGACCTGCCGGCTGCTTTAGTTGGTGCATGATGAGCCTGAGCAGGGGGCCTGGGGGTGCCGGTTCCCCAGCATGGCTGGGCCGGACAGACACAGCTCTGATGTGTGTGTAAGGGGAGCGTGTTTGGGGAGCATATTGAACTCTCTAGCTCAGAACTTCTTTTTTTTCTTTTTTGCAGTTTTTGGCTGGGGCTGGGTTTGAACTGGCCACCTCTGGTATATGGGGCTGTCAGCCTACTCCTTGAGCCACAGGCGCTGCCCAAGAACTTCTTAATTCTTAACAGCGTTTTGCATGCAAATGCGAGGTCAGTCAGATGAGCATTCGCATTGTCTGTGAAGTAAAAAATAAGGCACAACAAAAATTCCCATTCCTGAGAGTAGGAAAGTGGGACTGAGGGGTTCAGATGACTTTGTCAGAGTTACTTAATGGTTGCAGCTGATACCGAAACCAAGGTCTCCTCTGTTTGTAGGGCAACATTGCTCCATCTAATTCCAGTTTGAAAAGCAATCTGTACAAACGATATCATCATCAGGTCCAAGCAATTTTGTTCAATTTCTTCATAAAGACGGCGCTGACGTGCTGTAGCCATGTTCCCTATCTGCTGCAACTTGGCTATCTTAGATGGTGGATTCCTTGGGGGCTGACTGTGCCTTACTTTTCTTTGTTGCTCTTGGTGCAATGGTTATGTTATAAATACCATATTTGATAATAACTGCTTATATCCAGTGTCATATAAATAAGTGTGTATGAAGTTTGCTTGGTCAATACGGCCTGTGGAAATTCACTGCACAATACAACTGCCACGGGGTGAAAAATCTCATTAAGGAATATCAATAGTCCAAGCTTCCATCTATCTTTAAATATAGGAAGGGGAGAGAGTGATGGCCACCTGCCACGTGGTGACGTGTGCACAGTCCCTGCTGACCAACAACGCTGCCCTCACTACCAAGGAAGCAAATGAAAGCCTGGGGCAAAGCAAGGCCTGGCCTCTTCCCAGACCTTCCCGCATACCTTTAGTCTCTAGCACTTTCTAGGGGAAGGCAGCAGTCCTCACTCCCTGCCCCTAGATGGTGACCCCTTGTTGGTGACAAATGATAAATGCGGTGGTGACATTTGTGGCTTGGGGCACCTATTTTAAGATAATTGTAGCATCAGTGCTTAATGGAACTCAATTGTCTTTGAAAGTGAGTGAGTGAGGTGTTTCACTGTCCTTGTGTTGAAACAAAATATATTTTAGCAAACAACTTTTGTTTCACAAGGGCCAACCCCAGTTCTCCCAAGCCCGTTGATTTATGATCACAACCCCCAAAACCTTGCTGCTTAATCGGCAGTGCCTATCATGTGCTAAGAAGGAGGGAACACAGGGAATTAAGTGCCTATCATGTGCTAAGGAGGGAACACAGGCAACAAACAGCATGGCTTAGTGCTGGGAAACATGGCTGAGCTCCCAGCTCCTTAGCCAGTAGTAAGTAAACCTTAGCCTCCTACTGTCCAGTAGCAAAGCTGTTTGGTGCAGTTGCCATGCTCTTTCTCTCCTCCTCTCTCTTTTTCTTTGGTTCTGTTGGTGGCTCTGTTTCTGATGGTCACTCTGCTGCCTGGCTTCTTTGATTTAACCATTCACTGAAAACTTCCCATCTCTCTGGCCTTATTCTGATAGGCATGCGGCTGTTACCTCAGTGAGCTAAACAGACCAAACCCCCTGTCCTCAGGGAGCTTACCCTCCAGGGGAGAAAGACAGGATGAGTGAGATGTAAATAATTACACGGTGGACGTCACTGAGCTGATGGACGGCAATGAAGCCGACAAGGGTGAGGACTTCCCAATGGGGTGGGGGCTGCAGTGCTGAGCATGGTGATCACAGAAGATCCCACAAAGATGTCCTTTGATGAGAACTCGTAGAAGATGAGGAATGAGCCGTGTGGATGTGTGAGACGTACCCTCCAGACAGAGGGGGCGGGAAGAGCAGAGGCCCCAAGTCAGGAGCAAGCAACACAGCTTTGTGCTGGCTGTGGCACCGTCGTTTTTATTTTTAATTTCTTTTGGTTGCAGTTGTCATTGTTGTTTAGCAGGCCTGGGGTGGGCTTGAACCCACCAGCCTCCATGTATGTGGCTGGCACTCTACTCACTGAGCTATGGGAGCTGAGCCAGGAACTGTCATTTTTAGAAATAAACTTTGTCTTCTATGTTTACCTGGATGGAGTTGAAGGATATTCTTCTTAGTAAAGTATCAAAAGAATGGAAAAATAAATATCCAATGTACTCAATACTAATATGAAGCAATATATTCACAATGTCATGCTAACATGAACAATAAAACACAAATATAGTGTTGTGCCTCACAGCAGCTAGAAGGACTCCATTTGTTTAAAATGCAGGCACTAGAAGATGCACAGCAGAACAAGTGGCTTGTGACAAGACGCCTCATAGCCAGGCCCTGCTGTGTCTGTCACTCAGCTCACACTGACTTTCGTGAAGGGACAGCCCATGTTGTCTGTCTGGGTTACCATCACACCTAATTATAGCAACATCCACATCACTGGCCTCAGCAGATGGTCTCCTATGTGAGGAGATTATCTTGTGGCTGAATAGTTTTGAGCCAACCTAAACAAAGCAAACCAACTTAACCTCATTCTTCAACTACCATTAATTAAAGACACCTTTCTGCAAGAGGCAGGCAGGGCCTTTGCTTTCTTTTAAAGCTGAAAACAAGTTCTGGAATAAAGACTGTCCAGAGATAGTTTCTATTTGTGAGTGCATAACACTGATGTGATTTCACAGGCATTTAGGGATAGCACCATTAAAATAGCCAACGTGGAACGTGGGGAATGTGGGAGCCGCCATGTCGACACATAGTTAGAGAGCTGAGCTGCTCTGCATCTCTCTCCCCTCTCCCTCTCCTTGGAATCCCTCCCACCTCCTGCACACAATGGCAGGATGGGGGCGATCTCCCAAACCTCGGGCCCTACTGTTGGCCACTACCCTTTCCTGAGCACCTGTGTGCTAAGTGTTGTGCTGTCAACTACGGTGTTAGCCTTCCGACCCTCTGGCCTCATCCCAGCACAGAATGATAGTATGTGTCACACTGAATCCTCCCAACAGCCCTGAGTTGACAATAGCATAGTCCAGTTTTTGCAAATAAAGCAAGTGAACCCAGAGTGATTAAGAAACTTGCCCCAGATGTACCTTCTCAGCCACCCACTACAGTCCCTCCTGCCACTCTGCAATCACTACTTTGTTTCATTCTTAAAGTAACCTAGGAAGACATGAACTATTAGCTCTGTTGTTGCAGGATGGAGGAGATTATAACTTCCCCAAGGCCACTGGAGAGTAAGTAGAGGGTAGGCCCTGCCTGTGACTGTGAAGCCCACGCTCTCCCTTCACCCCACGCTGCTGGGCAGGATGGGGCTCCGAAGCAGAGGAGGCCCCTCCGTGCTGTGTTCAGGGCAGCTTGTTTTTATAGGCCACATCCAAAGTGGCTTAGGTTATTAAAAGATGTGGCAGAGGACCCTGACAAAACTGGGGGTCACGGGTTCCTGGAGAACAGAAGTGTGAGAGACTGATGGCTCGTGCCTTTGGAGGACCCGAGGATTAGGGAAGAACGAGGGGGAGTGTTGAGCCACCTTCAGCAGAGCTGGCAGGGCATGCTGCTCATCTGGGTGTGAGGCTGCCCTTTCCAGAAATTTCCCCATGTGTTGGCAGGGACACTGGCTGCAGTAAGCCTTTATCTAGCCTATAGGTGCAGGCCAGAAGCTAGTGGTCCCTGTGGGTTCTGAGTTCAGTCACTCACTGCTCCAGCCAAGCGAGCAAAGAGCCCACAGACAACAGGCCTCTTGTCACGCTATTGTTGTCAGAGATTTGGGATGACAGAAGGAGAATAAATTTCCAGCGAAAGCAAATCCTAACCTTAGGTACGCACACACATGAACACACACGCAGGCGCACACACACAATTGACCCAGCTGCATTTTTGATGAATGATTCGTGGGGCTTTCCAAGAATCTGGCAAAATAACACTAGAAGGGGTTTTAGCATAGCTGTAAGATTCATCAATGCTATTAACCTCCTTCTGATATTATTTTGCCAAAACAATTAAGAGACACAGAAAGGGGTTTTCCTTAGGGAATTTTGAAACAGAGGTCTGATCACTGCGCATCCTTATGTTTATAAGACCAAACTTAAGTAGCACAATAGATAGATAGTAGTTTCCTATTTATGCCGCTATGGACCTTCTACATTTAGGAGAGAGAACCTAGATGAGGGAGAGAAGCTATGATTAATTCAATTTAATCATTCACTTAATGTATCTGGTGTTCAGAAGCCCTGGGTAAAATATAGTTTAAAATAAAATTTTAATCAGCTCTCATCAGAACAAATTGTAACAGCCTGCCTGTTTCTTACGAGCACAGTAAGTTCTGTGGTGGCAGAGCAGTGTCATTACCAGCAGGGCCCCAGTGCTCAGAAGAATGCCTGGCAGGTGGCAGGTACCCAGTGGCCACTGTTGAAGGCCATCTCCCAGGGTCCTTCCAGTTGACCACCCTGATGATGTTAGTAGTGCCATGTATTTGGGACGTATCATTAAGCATAAGGCCTCAGCAATGCTCCATGGTAGTTAGAATCAATGCCCTTGTTTCACAGGTGAGGGAGATGAGGGTTGGTGATGTCCCATAACATGCCCAGGTCACAGTGCTAGAGAGTGACAGAGTTGGGACCAAAATGGAGGTGCCTGCCAAAGCTAGTGCTGGTTTGAGATGGTGAACTTGAACCCTTGCCTAAGGTCAAGAGGAGCAGTCCTTTAGCTTGTTGCGACAGTGTTCTTGGGAAGTGTTTCTGTCCTGCTCCATGTCCCTCCGAAGGTTGTATTTTTGGTGGCACAGCCCTTCTGAGTCTCACCATTGGTGACTCCAAAAATATCTCTAAAACGTATGTGTAAATTATTTTCTTGGGGGGGCCCAGGACATATATTCCAAGACATACTTTGTTACAAAATGGGAATGAGGTTCCCGGAGTAGTTCATAAAAGCTAATTTAACTCATAATTAAAGTACAGCCTGTCTGCAGTGATAAACTAGTAATTAAACCAGATGGAAAAAGGTACCCGTCAGTGAGATATAATTTATAAATTAAGTTTGCTGCTCAAGGAAATGCAGACTTAATGAAGGGAGTTTTTTTAATCTGAAGGGGACTTCCAGATGCTCTTAAAATTCTCTTATTAGACACAGGCCCCACGGCCCTTTCATTTCAATTTCTCTTTGAACCTGGTCCTGTTCTTGGCACCTTGGACACAGGTGATGTTACCGAGGTACCCTCCTGTCTGCTGCCAGGGCAGGTGGATTTGGGGCATTTCAGGCACATTTAGAGCACAAGACGTGGGGAGCAAAGGGAGGGGGAGGGGTGCGCCCGCTCCCAGGTGGCCTGGGGGACACGGTGGCCTTGGAGGTTGTTCACTATCCCGTTTCTAAAGCAGCTGCTCACGGATCAAGTCTGGGTCTTCACAGAGCTTACATTTTTGTGACAGAAAAGAAGCAATAAACAAACAAATTATGTTTAAAAATTAAAAGAATAGACCACACTAAGAAGCAGACTGAATCTGGGCACTCGGAGGATAAATAACGAGGGCACCGCCAGCATGGAAGGGAAGCCTTGGGCAGGTGGGCAGGAGGAGAGAGCCTGCTGTGTGCTGGGAACTGAGAGAAGCTGGTGGCTGGAGTTCCCGGGTTCAGAGGGAGTTGGGGATGATGAACAAGGAGGGGAGCAGGGGCGGGTCCGTGACGACCTTGAGGCCACCCCGAGGAGGAGTTACAATTTATCCTCAGCTTAGGGGTCGCCCCAGGGACTTCTAAAGGAGGAGGTGGCGGGGGCAGAGCAGCTTGCCTGGAGAGGACTCTGGCCGCGGTCAAGGGTGGCCGTGCTCACCATGGCAGCCCGTGTCCTTCTGTCCCTTGCTGTGTGCACTGCACAGGTTGGCAAATAAGACTGCCCCTTGCCATCTGGTATTTCACAGCTGGAAGGACACTCAGGGTGTGAGTAATGTGGTTTAGAGGCTTCGATTTCACAGCAATAAAAACAAACACGTGACTCACAGAGCTGCAGCTCTCTGTCTGGCTAAGGCAGGCAAGATCTCAGCCACTATCTGGGACCACCATCATTTCACAGGAGAAAAGATGTGTTAGAACTGAAAACAGAAGGACACAACCTCAGGGGAGAACCCCAGCTTGTAGGGAACATGGCCCTTCCTTTAGGTTTCTCACACTTCTCTTTAGAACCCATGAGAACCTCATTAGCAGATCAGGCAGGAATCTGGGGATCAGTATTCTGAACATTAGCATTTAGGGACCACTGAGTCCACCCTCAACCCCACCGGAGCGGTGGGAGGACTGGAGCCTCGGGAGGCCGGCGGCCTTCCCAGGTGGCAAGGCACGGAGTCTGGGCTTCAGTGTCCCAACTCCAGGTTAATTCTCGTCCCATTACATCAGCACAAAGCTGTATATTTCAGCGTAGTTCTGCTTTCTGGGGCTTGGACAATGTACAGATCCCGACTGTGTGGAGCCTCCAGCCGTTCTCACCCCTGCCAATGTTTCTGATGCCTACTAAGGGGCAAGCACTCAGCAGCACAGGGATCAGCCCTGCGAGGTGGAGGCCTTTCCTTGGCCAAGAAGAGGAAGGTGTGTCTCACCTGATCTTCAGGTAGGCTGCGACACCAAACACCAGCAACACCACTGCGATGACCGTCACGGTGATGGCGGCGATGCTGCCTGTGAGGGGGAAGGCACAGAAAAGAAGACAGAAGTCGGAGTTAAATGACCCTCTGCCTGGCCCGATATTTACTTCAGATCACTTTTCATGAAAGTCAGAACAAGCACAAGACCCAGGACCTTAATTCTATTACCAAAAAGTTTTTCATGCCACATGAGGCTTGATGAATGGTGAATATTTATTTCAATGTTTATCAAGAGCTTTGGCTGGCCCGGACGTCAGAGAACAGGACTGAGTAATATTGGATTATCTTTTAGAGAATGACACCGACGTGCCGCTGTCACCGCTGCTGCTGTTTCCCGGGCAGCGGATTGTAAATTTCCTGAGGTCCTGTTTTCTTCTCCTACAGGCTCTGGCTCATCTTTCCACAACTTGTGAAGTATTGGGAGACTTGTGATGCTTTATGCAAGGGTCACTACAAAGTGATGTGGTTGGTTTTGTTTTTTTTTAAGTGAACCACAACCACACAGCTATATTGGTAGTGCCCACTTCAAAAAGGTCAACTTGGTAGGAAATGCACTCATTTTAATGATGCCATTGTATCAGAGCATTTCTAAAACACCTCTTTGGGAAGTGCGTCCAGTTTTCATTCTTGAATAGTAAATTTGGCTTTATAGAGAATAAAGTCAAGGTTGGTGTATAAAATAAGGTAAAGTCCCAGCCACGGCCAAACTGCAACAAAAAAATAGTCAGGCATTGTGGCGGGCCCCTGTAGTCTCAGCTACGTGGGAGGCTGAGGCAAGAGAATCGCCTAAGCCCAGGAGCTGAAGGTTGCTGTGAGCTGTGATGCTACGGCACTCTACCAAGGGCGATAAAGTGAGACTCTGTCTCTGAAAAAAAAAAAAAAAAAAAAAAACAACTAAAATAAGGTAAAGTCCGATAGGTAACACTATTCTTTTGTTTGTAAAAATAATCAGATACAATTATAAAGTCATGTAAGTGTTTCATTCTATAGTTTGAGATCTGGTTCCAAAAACAACTATTAATGGGCAGTTAAAGAAACCTATTGGGGGCAGTGCCTGTGGCTCAAAGGAGTAGGGCACTGGCCCCACGTACCAGAGGTGGTGGGTTCAAACCTGGCTCTGGCCAAAAACTGCAAAAAAAAAAAAAAAAAAAGAAAAGAAAAGAAAAAGAAACCTATCGGGTCTGTGACAGCATAAGAATAACCTTGCTGCCGCCAAATACTACTTGGAAGCATAACACTCTTTCTGTGAGAGCTATGTATATACTTGGTTTTATCTTCACACGGGAATGCCAGCAATCAACTGTGCTCTTGTGCACTCACACTTACAGCCACTTTTTGGCACTAAAGCTGGTGTCAGGGACCCCATTTACTCTTTAAGGCACTGGGAAATTATGTATTCATACTTTAATAAATGAATAGCACTCTTCTTAAACACACTGGGAAGGGGATAGGAGGTTTGGGGTGTGAACGCACGGCTCAGTCATTACTAGCTGTGTGACCGTGAGCTGTTTACTCAGCCCAGCCTACTCGTGCTGCACACCTGCAGGGACAGGAGAATGGATGTGTTCTGCTCACGTCACAGGGGTTAGGGGATGAAATGAGACCCCACGTGTGTCCACCCGAGGTACCCTCCACACACATGATCCAGAGCCAATGCCCACCTCTGGTGGCTTAGGTCTCAAATCTTCCTACACTTTTGAAGTGTTATTTTTGTAGATTATTTTGCCGTGGTTTGTTTTATTCCCTCCCCTTCCCCCAATGAATGACTTTTCTTTGTTGTTCTTTTTGGTAGCCCTGCTACCAAAAGGATTAGAGCAAAGTCTGGGTGAGGTGGCTTATGCCTGTAATCCTAGCACGCTGGGAGGCTGAGGAGGATGGATTGCTGAGCTCAGGAGTTTGAGACCAGCTTGAGCAAGAGCGAGATGTCATCTCTAAAAAACTAGCTGAGCTTTGTGGCGAGCTCCTGTAGTCCCAGCTACTTGGGAGACTGAGATAAGAGGCTTGCCTGAGCCCAAGAGTTTGAGGTAGCTGTGAGCTATAACACCACAGCACTCTATCAAGGGTAACAGAGTGAGCCATGTCTCCAAAAAAAAAGAATTGGAGTTTGGCTGAGAGGGAAATCAGCTACTTATTAGCTCTTTAGTAACTCCCCAGAATTTCAGGTAATAGAGACTAGTCAGATGTCCATGCTCTCACTGGTGATACTTTATAAAAAGAGAGTCAGAAAAAAGGAACATGGCTAACAGGCAGACTTCAGATGGGGCCGGACCAGATTCACCCACGCACCTGTCTCAGAACTTGCATACTTCTGGACATTCAAACATCCATTTCTTTGCTCCCGGAACCTTCTGAGCTAGATTAACATATTTATCAGTACGATTCTCTTTCTCTTTTTACTAAAGACAGAACTATGGCACCCAATGGTTCGAGGTGCAGATCAGGCCAGGCAGGGAAGTTTGAGGTCAGATCCCCTTATGGAAAACTCCACTCCCAGAGGTTGCTCTGGGCTTCAAGTTCACTGACACTTCATAAAAGCTCTTTGAAGAGCTTGTGACAGGACAATTATTACTGCAAAGTAAGGAGGGGGGGTATTTTAAGATTTGGAAAGATATGATTATTGCAATTAGGAACAGCTAAAGAAACTGATCTTTTAATTTAATATCTCTCTTTCAAATAAGTGAAGGAAGAGAAGAAATATAACTGATTTCCCTCTAAGACTCTTCTCTCTTGCCTCAGCCATAGTTTGCCAAGGAAATTGTAGGCTTGACCTTTCTCAAAGTTTCTTCCCTAACTCTAAGCAGTTGGGTCTCCTCCAGCTCTGCGATTTACCGATTTATTTATATACCATCCCTTTCTAAAGATAAATCATCTAGTTCTTCCAGCTAAAGTGCTGATCTTTTTTTTTTTTCCTGTGAGACTGCAAGTGATAGAGTTGCTACTTCTCCCCTGCCCCCTGACTACCTGGCTGCCTGTGTGGCCCCCGTCTTCAGAGGGGGGCCCTTGGAGACCACCCTTCCGTATCCACAGACTACATCAGCCAGTGTGACCAGGGCTGGAATTAGCAGGTGGTTTTCCACCTGACGGGCCCGAGAGGGCAGCTGAGCAAAGGGCACTTCTCAGAGTGGGTACTAAGGCCCAGGGGCACAAGATTGCCCAGCGGGTGCTCAAACATAGGAACTCCTTATTAACTGTTCTGGCGCCCACGGGCTTTTCTCAGCGGTACAAGCCGGGAGCAAGTGTCCTCCTGAAGCAGAAGACCTTGGTGGGGCCCTGAGCCTGGGCAATCTTGTGTCCCAAGCTTGCTCTCACCCCCCAGGGCAGCTGCCTACAGAAGCTGCCTGTCCCCTGCATCCCAGAAGGGTCCACACCTGAGTGCCTTGCAGTCTAGGCATATGAAGGGCTGCTAAGTTGCATCAGCACAACTATAAAAGGTGACTGAAAAAGCTTCATTTCCTCCTTGTGAAAACAGATTCCATTTCCTCCTGAGTTCTGTTTAAACACACTGGAATTCCCCTTCCCCTACTCTTTCTTTTTTCAAGGTGGGGCAGGGAGAGGAAAACTGAGGCAGGTGTTGCAGGGGCAGGAGGCTCACCCTGCGGGGAAGTCGCAGGACGTTTGGTGGCAGTGGGGGTAGGGAGGTGGCCGGCATTCTGGCCCCTCCTGATGGACTTGCCAGTTACAGACTGGGTGTGTGTCCTGCTGTAAAGTCCTTGACTGGGCAGAAATTAAGAGAGAACTGGAGGAAATTCATCTGTATATTTTATAAGCTAAGGTACAAGAATATTCCACTGTGCTAGCACATTCCACTCTGCTAACACCTTCTGCCTAACCAGGGGCTGTTCAAGACCCGTGAACAAAGCCTCCTTGAATTTTCGGCCTCCCTGAAGTCTGGAATTTGTCTGGGTTGCATTTTGTCACTTTCATGAGAATCTAAGACAAGAATAAGTGGTGTCGAATGGCCTCAGGTGACACTTTGGGCTGGCACAGGCCCAAGACCTTTCCAGCTGTCACCTCCCTTAATTCTCTCTGTGAGGGAGTGGAATTCCCATTTTATAGATGAGGAAGTTAATAAACTGAGCCCCTGGTAAATTTTCCTCTGGTAAGTGACGGACTAGCACGTGCCCCCAGCACCGTTCATGCAGGTTTTACACGATTAATCACTGGTGCATAGCTCTTCTCTCAGCGCAGCCAGTTCCTACGCTTTCTTCATGACCTAACTAAACGCCAGCCCTTCTGAGAATCTCTCCCTGACTCCCCTGAGTCAATTACAGGGTTGTGGGGTCTTCTTAGATCTTGGTCCTGTATCTTTTCAGCACTCTGCTGTGCTGGATTTTCCAGGGAGATTCGGATCACACCACCGTCCATCTCTTTCCATTTCTTTGTGTTCTCAGTGGGTCCTTAACCCATTTAGTGTTGAATACATAGGTATAATATTGGCAGGACAAGTGATGGCTGGACGTTTCTGACCCGGTCACTGTGCTGAGACATTTGCCAAGTGCCAGCTGCTGCCCTTCACCTGGGATCCCTGCTGCGGCCCCACCAGGCTCCTGCTCCCCAACTGTTCCTGTGGTCCTATCCCCTCAGCCCTTGATCCCCATTCTGTGCACCTGGGAGTCCCCAGGATGACAAGGTGATTAGCTGGAGTGGAGTAACGGTGTGAATAGGGTCAGATAATAGCCTGGGAGCAGCCAGAGCAAACTCCTGGTGGGACTGCTGGGCCAGCTTGTTCTCACTTCCCCTGCCCTGGGGAGGGAGGTTGCCCCCCAGGTTCTCTGTTCTGTACCCTGTGGTGGTCCTGGAGTAACGGGCCTTTCCACACCTGCCTCTCACGCCACAGACACGGGCCTCTTGGCCTGTCACTCTCTGTCCTTGTCCTATACTCAGGAGCACTCTGCTTCTGCCCCAGCCTCCTCCCCCTCCCTGGCCACAAAGGCCATCCTGCCTTCTGGGGCCTGATGACATCCCAAACCTCAGATGTCCCTCTGGGGACTCTTCTCACTGAGGGATTCCCCCCCCCCCTTTTAAATAGGAAAA